TCAGCACCTGCTGACGCCAGCCTGGCCTTCCCGTGGCAGCGTCCCCCTTTCACGAACCAGCCTGCTGCCCTTCCAGACGCCAGAAGCCACAGGCTTCCTGGGAACTTCCCGTGTCCAGCCACGTTCTGCGGGAGACCTGCCAGCTGGCGCCGGAGGGCACAAGGCACTGGGAGAGGATGCCATGAAAGATCGCCCGAGGAAAGGAAAGGCTCGCAACAGGCACCTCCAAAGCGTTGTTCTCCTCCCAGCAGGAAGAAAGCCATGTTGAGGGTTTGCCATGGGCAGCTGGCTCTGGTACAGGGCTCCAGAGCTGGCACGCTGACAATACAAACAAGTGGTGTCCTATGCATGCTCATTAACGGGGCAGGACACGCAACCGGGCTCACATGCACAGGCACAGCCAGTCCCTCTGATCTTCACGGGATCATTAGCATAAACAGCTTTCCAAGCAGCAGGAAGCAAAGAAATGCTAAACACGACAGGACTGGAAGCTGTGGGGCTCAGGGGCTGGCATGGAAATGGGAGAAAGGGTCCCCACTTGAATAGATGGGCCACGCTCAGCCCTGGCACCGCTTCTCGGCCCCCTCGCAGACCAACCGAAGCAGGGGCCCGCACGCTGGAGCAGGACATCCGTGGCACGCGGTGGCAGCTGGGTCCCAAGCGGCAGCCTGCGGCTGGTCAGAGGTTGCCAAAGCCTGAACTAGAGCATGGGGAAGCTCAAATGCAGCTCCTCGTTCTCATCAAGCTTTTGGTATTAACTTTGGCCTGATATTTGCTGAACCTTTAACCCAGCGATTGCACCACGCAAAAATCAACTTGCCGCCCTCTGAGACACAAATGACCTAGAACTTGTGCCAAAGGGGGCCTGACAAAAAGCTGGCAGTTATGTGCACTTATCCCCCGCAGAAAACAGGCGTTTTGGTGAAAGCAGCAAATGAAGGTCAATCACACTTCTCCACAAAACAGAAAATAAGGCAGCTGGGGTTTAAAAATGACACGCGTCATCCAGGCTCGCAGGACCTGGTGCTTGTTTGGAAAGCTTCACTGGGGGACGTGGCGCACACACGTTTCCGTGTTGCTTTTTACCCAGAGCCTGCACATGGTATCCTTGCCAGCATGGACCAAGCACAATTCGCCACCACATGGCAGGCCCAGGTCTGAAAACCAACTTGAAGAAGTAGCTAAGAGGAAGAAATCGGTCCACTTGCACTCCTCGGGCCCTGCAAAATCTGCGGTGCCGCACCCACGTCTCTTGGCACGTTCCCAACGCGCCGAGGCCTCAGCCCTCCTATTACGGAATTCGCTATTTGTTTTTTTCGCCCCACAAACCGTCCGGGCCATCGGCAGAGCAGCCGACAAGGTTACTGGGAATCCCGCTGGCTCCAGGGGTGTCTAGGGTGGATCGGCACAGCTGGGCCACCACCCCAGCGGGGGCATCGAGGGATGGGCATCTGCCTCCTTAGACGATAGCGGTCCAACCAGGACAGAGGTATCTCAATGGCCCCCACTGATGAGCTGGGCCCTGTATCCAGGCAGACTCGAAACATTAGGTCCGCAGGCTGCCCGGCCTCACGTGCTGGCCCAGTTACTAGTTGGGATCGCTCCACGGCAGTCACAGAGGCGATGAAGTCCTGCTCCGGGCCTGAAAAGCCCGGCTGAGCGTGGATGTTGAAGTCAGCCAAGACGGGAAGTCCAGGTGTCCTCAGAGACCGGCTGGGGCAGCTCGGTCAGGACTGTTGTGCAGGGGGGCGAGTGTGTACGGACCACGGTCCCCATGGTCTCCGGGCTCAAACAAGAGGCAGACGCACTGCATCCAGGTTGGATGAGTTTGGCAGCGAATGTCTTCCTGGGGCCAGATTTTCTTTGAAGATCACCATCGCTCTTGCCCTGGGGTCACGCCTGGGGCCCTGCGGTGCCAGATAACAGCGTAGCCCCTTCCACTCAAGAAGTCTGCACCACCCAGAAGACAGTGCCGGCTTCACCAGGTCCCCGGGGACACGCGATACTCAGCGCTGGTCAATCCTGGTATTGTTGGCAGCGCTTCCCGCAGCCTCGTGGAAGCCACCATCCAAGTGCTCTTAGCGTGACGCTGCTCCTCTTGCAAGGCCACGTACTATCACAGCCTGACGTGGCACAGCTACAGGTTCTC